GTTGTAATGTGACAAAATATGGAAAAGTTCAAGGGGTATGAATACTTTTGCAAACCACTGTATGTATCGTATCGCCAAATTCTTGCCAATACACAGCCCTACTGCCCAGGTGTCTCTGGTGAACTGGAGACCTGTCCAGGTGTCCCCTGCCTTCACCCAAAGGCAGCGAGGACAGGTTCCAGCCCCACTCTGACCCTGATTAGGAACAAAGAGTACAGGAGGTGGATTTTTCTTTATAGCAGGAAACAGACATTTAATTACGAAACATGATTTATTTTATGCTAATCTGAATCAGTTTAGTGTTGTTTGTAAATATATTTGACAGTTTTGTAAGAATGAACATGTTTGTAATGTTTGTTCAAAATAAACCTGCTTCTTATGACTTCTGTAACATGTTTTAAATAAAATATCAGTAAAAGCATCAAATCATGTCCTTTCTAATAATCATTAGAATTCTAGAACTTTAACTCTTGTAGATATAAAGGATAACAGTTAAAAATGCAACTATCAAAAAACTTCCTCTGAGTCACTGAGAATAATTTATTTACCACATTTTAAATACAGAAGATTATAATCTGGGCCCTAAAGGGTTAATGCTCCTGAACGGGACTGTCTGACCTGCGGTGTGTGTGTGTGTGTGTGACAGAGGAGAGGAGCTCAGCTCTGAATCCAGCATGACTTGTAGACTTGCTACAGCAGCTCATTCTGTCTGGATTTATGGTGTTTTGAGTTCACAAACTACTCATTACTGTTTTAAAAGTTGAGGGACATTATATTAGCTTGTAGATGCGCTGCTGATCAGCACTGTTTGTAGAACTTAGACTCGCGGGAACCTGGTCACACACAGGGTCTGTGTTGGTGGTTCTTGCTGTAATCTATAAAAAGTAATTATTGACAAGGTAACCATGCTGTGGCTTCACCTGTCACATTTTCTTTTAAAGAAAGAAAAAGTAGCTTGCAAAGCTGTCGCATCTGTGCTACGTGATTAAAAAAAGTAGTTTTCATTGCACGTCTAATCACACACACACACACACACGTGTCTTTCTATCTTTGTGAGGACCACACACAGCGCTCACAGCCTTGCTCTGCGCTGTCTTTTTTTCCCCAAGTTTGGCGAGAGATGGATATGGAGGGACGCAAAAATAGCTCTTGACTTGATTTGGCCTTATTTAAATAAAAATGACTACATGCTGTGAAATTCTTGGAGGGGTGGGCCGTCTCGTTCGGGGTGGGGGGGATGGCCCCCTTGAATAATGGTAGGGGAAATGCAGCATAATTCCTTTCAGTAGTCACATAATATCCTCCAACCCGCCCCTGCCTTTCAATAACAAATTGTAACCAGAAAGTTGGGGGATTCTTTACTGGATGAACCAGAAAGTGTAACTCACCATTTTTTGCCACTTCAGCTATGATGTTGGCTACTTTAGGGGTGCAGGAAGACTGGGGATTGAGCAGGGTGGGGAGCAGGGGAAGGATGCCCATCTCCTGGATCTTCATACTGGCCTCAGTGTCTGGAGTGAAAATAAGTCAAGAGGAAGTTCATACAAAATAATCTAAGCATCCTATGTACTGTACTTAATGACATCCAATGTAGAAAATACATATCATTACATAATTTTGACACATACGCATATGTGTATATGCGTATGTATATATATATATATATATATATATATATATATAAGTTGTACAGTGGTCAAAGCATTCAGTGCTTTCAGTTTTCGTAATTCAGTTATGTTGCAGCCTGATGGTACAATTATTATTTTTGTTTATTTTCTCAGTAATTTACTGTCAGTGATTCATAATAATGCAAAAACCCAATTTCATTCAACTGAAATATAACATTTGCATAAATATTTAAACTGAGTTGAAGCAGCTTGTTTGTTCTGACTGATAAATAAAACACGAGAGCAGTTAAGTTTATAATTCTGTAGGACTATTTTGATGCAAAACTAAGGTCTTAAAATTCCAGGAATTTTTTAAGACAAAAATAAAAGTTAATTGGAATTTAAAGGAATTTGTGGAAATTAATTGGACTCAATAGTATGAATCTGTCTGTCTGTCTACCTGCCTACCCATCTACCTACTCTTCTATCCATCCATTTATCCATCCATCTACCCTTCTATGTATCCATCTATCTATCTAGTGATTCCAGTAACTAAAACAGCAGTCTTCCTAACCTAAAGTGAGATTGAAGTTTTTTCACAGATAGGTCTTCAGAAATAATCCCTTATTATTAGCCCTTTTAATTTTCTTGGAAATTGACCGTTTTCTGTGTGGCTGTCATGGCACTCCCTTCATATAATATTTAAAGCATTKTGAAGCTTGAGGATCCCCCTTCTTAAATATAGAGCTGTAAATCCTGATGACATCACTCCAGACCAATAAAAATAGTTTTCAAACAAACACTTTTTTAAACAAAAGGAAACTTGTTGCCAGGCCAGGAGATAATTCACCAAATTTCAACAAACTTCATATCATTTTGAAGCTTCTGAGACGAAGAATGTGAAAATATCTGAGATGTATTCTGTAATATTCTGAGATGAGCTGGTTGTGTCTGTCTGTGGATTAGCAGTTTTGGAGGCTYAGCTGCAGAACCGGACACTCCCTACAGGCCATAAATCTGAATTTCGAACAATAAATCACACTGCTCAGTGAAAACATCCCTCCGTATTCTCAAAGTAATAATTGTATTTTCAGTACTGCCTCATCTTTTTCTGATTTAGAGCTGCAGTGTTTAATAAAAAATGTTGGATTTATGAATATAAGCTTCCACGCAGTCATTGGAGAGAGATTTTCAGTCCAGCATTATGTAGGCATGATCTGTACTAAAACACACAGCTGTTACTTAGCTGTGTGACAAACACTGACACCCTGCTCACCATAGAGCTCTGCACTAAACACAACTCATCTCTGGTCCAAGAATATGAAGATTAACTGATTTGTCTCAACACGTGTGACACACACCTGAACGGCTTTGTCTCGGGACGACAACTTAATGCATTTGGTTATTCTGTGTGAGAAAATCAGATTCTTTGTAGTTTATACATCAAGAGGTTGCAAGCAGAGTGGAAAAGTACGAAGCAAGGTTTCAAGCTTAGTCAGCTCCATGGTAACAGGCAAACTCAGTACCTGCTTGTGTGACACACACATGCACACACACATAAGCACAACCGCATTTTTATCCATCTTAGGACCATGTACTGAAGTCAACTTTGGAGCCAAATCTGGCTACGTTCACACTGCAGGCAAATCCGACCCAAATCTGATTTTTTTGACCCATCTGACTCATATCCGATTTTGTCTGAAGGAGACAAATCCGATTTTTTCAAATCCGACCCAGGCCGTTTCAGTATGTGGTTTTAAATCAGATACATATCTGATGTTTTCAAAGTGACTGCAGTGTGAACGCTCATGTCACATTCATCTGACTTTTTCATCAGGAGGAGGCGGTGAAGGATCGACAAGACACTAACCATTACTAGTAATACCTAAACCTAACCCAAACATGGAATTCCATTATATTAGGGCAGGGCTTGGGTCCCCAAAAGGACTACTGATACATCTACATCTACCTTGATAGGGTAGGTATACATATTAGTGTATCATTACCCCCCCCCCACACCACCACCACCCCAAGGCAAAATTTAAAAATGCCTACAGTAGGTAGTGCAGGAGAGAGGAGGGGGGTGAGTGAGGAGGTGTGGCCAGGACAGAACATGACAGCTACCTTAATTT